CGGGATCGAACCGGCGACCTTCTGCGTGTAAAGCAGACGTGATAACCGCTACACCACGAAACCTGGTGTTAACGTCTCTCATAATAATAAAAATTCTTCTATATCGATTTTTTTTTAATATATTGCAATAAAATACATATTTTTAATTAAAATGGAAATTCTAATTCTAGCAAAAAATGTAATGAGTAATTATATAAAAATACTATATCAGGACGTATGTATTAATGTACTCAGATTAGCTACAGATGGCAAGCACAATATAAATAAATGCAGAGGTATTTGTGCAATGGATACGAAATATTCGTTTCCCGAATTAGGTCTTAAGAAGTGGATAATAGATTATGAATAAACGCATTTTTATGGTTAATAATAGATACTTTTTTATTGGTATAAATGGTATAAAGTCGAATACAATTAACAAAATGATGTTCCGGATGACGGAGCAGATACAGATTTTGTTTTGAACATAACTTTTTATCGTTCTCGTATCAGTTAACGAGAAACTCCAATATGTTGTAGTATACGCGTCAAAAAATAAGTTTCTGTCAATTGAATGAATAAAACCATACGACACCATTGCTCCTGATGCATCCGGGTTTGTACTTAAAAATAAATATTATCTACTAAGAACAAAAGTTTCTTTTGTTTTTTGCTTTTCTTTGTATTTTAAAAGGCACGACAACGACTAGGGAAGAAACAAATGGTATGCCAAAAATAGTTATAAATCTCGCTGAAATGATTATTCGAACTCTTAATCCCATATAAAGTAGTAACTCTGATGTAACGGGCAAATAAGTTTTGTACGAAGTGCAACTACGTAAATGCAATAAATCGTTTCAATCATCGTGAAACTCTCGGTTAAGTTTGATTTGAAACATTATATTACAGAACAGTTTCTTTTCGTGTGTTGCACATATTCCTAGAAGTATAAAGTACTAACATGTGGTTGTGAATTCTGTTTTTAATCTCTTCTTTATTATTTTCTTAAGCAAAATATATCATCGATATCGTTATACGAATTCTTTATATTGATAAAACTTCGGTGACTCGATTTCATAAACGTGGCTCTCACATGTTTTTCTCAAGCATTTTCAGAACGTGCTGTTAGAAATCTTAAGGTAGCTTTATGTTCACATAAGGCGACAAAATTCCTCTCCTCGGGGGTCACCCTGGAACAAAGAAAATACATTGTATTTATGTAAAGGAACTCTTGAAACACCACTTAATGAACCCAAATAGCATGATGTACTTGTATTACATTTTTATATACATTATCCATCAATCATTAGTTACAGAATCTTAAGCCAATATTAATGAATGTTAATTTTTTAATAAGAGACTTATGAATGATGCAAATTTACTGATTCCAATTAGTTTTTCGCGTGTGCAAAGTATACACGCGCAAACGAAATCTCTGATCCGCATATTTTTCTTTTTATTCTGTAAATAGAATCTAGCGAATGATGTATATTTTTTAAACAAATCGACTAATGCAGGATAAAATTATTTAATGAAATTACATTATCATGTGAAAAATATTTTTACCCGATAGAGAATATAACTATTTTATTCCGTGTTAAATTCTTTATATTAAAAAGTATTTAAACATGCATCAAAACAACAAAATACTTAATAAGCTCTGTATAAACATAAATGGACAACTGTTATCTTTCCTTCCTTATTCTTTTGTATAAGAAAGTACTGATCCCTGTAAATTTAGCAAAATAATGTGTACTACTGGTTAATAGTTTACATTGACATAAATAAAATTAATGATCATACATCACTAGCACTGTCGTAACAACAATGCTAATGATAAAAAAACTATGTGGAAGACAGACTGTATGCTTATACATACAATGAAAAATTTATTATCTGGACATGTATCATAAAGACAATGTGGTTAACTAATGAGATGTTTATACTTAATCAGAAGATTACATTATTTTTAACACTCATGAAGTTTTAGTCAGGCGTGAGCATGAAAATAAGATGCTGTGAAGAAGAAAAACAAAGCGAAATAATTTCTTTTACTTGAAGCGCGAGTGATAATCATCGTTGACTATTTCGACGTTCTATAAGTTGAAAACAACTTACATAAACTGACCCATCAGAACCGTTCGCTCGCCTACTTAATATAGGTAGAGATGTCTTCTCTATGGAATAAGAAGATACGTTGATAACACATATCCCGATGTCATTTATTTCGTACTTATTATGATACTATATCTAACAGTAAAATTAATTTAAACAAAAAACACGAGTAAAATAAAGAAAATTGATATATCGATAAATGAAATGAAAATCGAAATGTTTCATAGCCACATTGTCTTCGTAATCAAAATTTATTAAAAAGACAAAATAAGAAGGAAATTTTTGAAAGATCATTCTCTATTTCAATCTTTAATGTCGTCATTGAAATGGTCGTTTATAAAAAAATACATTAAAGTACTTGAAAAACAAGACAATACTAATATTGCCCAAAAAACAAAAACACATTTTTGAACACCTCTTTCAGAAAAGGAAGAAATCTATATAAAAACAACGAACATACAATTTAATTTATATCCTCAATCGTTAATATTTATTTTTATGTTTGTATTACACTCAGAGAGATCATGAACGTACCTGTTGATGATGGAGCTCTTCAGAAGGCCGAAAACCCAAATCCCTATGCCGAGAAACAGATCTAGACAACTGTTGCCTTTTACACTCTGAAGTAGCCATATCCTGTTTAAATATTAAAACAATAAGAACGTTGCTCACGTACATTTAAACAAATAGTATAAAATCGAAATCTAAAACTCACTTCTCCCTCGTTGTTAAGTAGTACAGTTGTCATGGTATCTGCTGTAAACCATTTTTGACCCTTCATTACAATGTTGGACGGTGGCTCATGTGTGGCACCAATATCTGATGACCAAACCATTACATTGCCACCTGCTTCCAACTTCGCAGTACGATGGAACTTGAATACTGTTTCCAAAGAACCAGCTTTACGAATAATTTGCCATCCACTGAGTCCTACTTCCTATAAAATTAATATACGTAGGATTAATATATGTCCTCGTAGAAATTATATGTAATTTGATACTTAGTATTATACCTTGTTGCCTTTGTTAGTAAGCTTTACGTATCGTCCTTGGGGATCAGCTTCTGCGATTTCTATATCTCCTCTAGATGTTCCTGATACACTGTAATCAGTACTGCTACGTTCCTCACTTTCCTCCAACAGAGTGCGTTTCCTTTTTCCACCTCTCAATGGTGTATATCTCGAAGGGGTAGTTCTACCACTAGATCCTGCTGAGCTTGATTGAGGCATGATATTTAATCTGCAAATAAATTCATTTTTATATATATGCACATAGATTAGTCCGAAATTTTACATATTTTTTAATTGGTACAATTACCTTGCTTCTTCAGATTCCAAAAGTTTTCGATACGCAGCTATTTCCAAATCAAGTGCAACCTTAATATCCATGAGATCTTGATACTCCTGTAGCTGTTGAGACATTTGCTCGCGTATGCGTGCTAATTCAGATTCCAAAGCTGCTATACTTTCTGCGTAACGGATCTTCTCATTTTCGCGTATGTTTTCTAAATCTCTGTAATCAATTGAAACGTTCAATTTACAACATACACATTCAATTAATCCGTTAGAAATTACCTTATCCGCGAGTTGAAAGTCGCATTTGCTCCCTCGAGTTCATTAATCTTTCGATTGAGCTTATCAATGGTTTGTCTACATTCTTCAACAGCTAAACTTGCTGCTCCACTGTTACGTTGATTCTGAGCTGTCATCTTAAGCCTATTTTCATATAACAATTCTATTTCCTCTCTATTAGCTCGCATCTGAGCTTCATATTGTTCGCGTAATTCATGTAAAGATTGTTGCAACTTAGCTTCGTATTGTTCGGCGAGGCGACCATCTATCTCCGATATTTCGATCTAAGATAAAATATAAATAAACGTTTACAAGACATTACGTGAGCATAATCGTATTTCTTTTGCATTCATACGAACCTGTCTCTTTGTGCGTGTCTCTGTTAATACTTGTTGCTGCATCTGATCCCTGAAACTGGCTTCTTCTCTCAAGCTTTGAATACTATTTTCGAGGGTAATACGTTGTAACGTCTCCTCCGCTAGATGTTTACGAGCATCTTCCAATGCTGCGTTCAACTTTTCATTTTCTTGTTCAAGTCCTCTCGCTTTCTCAGTTGCCTTTTTACGCTCTGCCTCAGATTGATTAAATTGTGTTTGCAAATCACGGCAGCGCGTCTCATACAACGTTGCATTTCTTTCGGCAACTTGCAGCTCCAGCAATTTCTTTTCCAACCTGATAATTAAAAATATTTGCAAAATATAATAAACCATACATAGTAAATGTTACGTTAAAAAAATAGGAGTATGAAACAATTACGTATCAGTTTTATTCATATGTTAAAATTACCTGTCTTTCGGTTATACAATACAATTTTTTCACACTATATGTATAATAAATTCGATGATAAAATCTGAATAGTTTACGACATTCCGTAGTCGGAATGAAGAGGTAAGCTTTCGTGTTTCTATTTCAGGCAACGACCCACATCGAGAATTTTATTTTCTACTGCGAAGCTTCACAAGGCATCTTAATATTTCATTATCTTAAAACTTTACAACTGACGATCACACATGTCGACATTTAAACAAAATAAACAAATAACATTGATTCAAAAGAAATGAGACAAAACTAGAGGTAAAAGAGGAAAAGATTGCCCATCAGTTTTATACATGACGAAATTGTTTCTTAAAAAACTGCCGAGTCTGTATTTTAATACGAGGACACACGTTCCATTTTATAAGGAATCCTTTTTTGTAAACCATACGTGCAAGGTTGGCTACATTTACGCTTTACACGCGGTCTTATCGTCCCGATAACAACGGCACGTTTTATAAAATTGCTTTCAATTATCGCAAGAAGTGTTCGTCATAGTACTATAGCGAAGGTAAAACTTCAATAAAAATGATGCCTACATAAGACTCTCTCAACAAATTCATAAATTTTGATCAATCATCTGAATTGAATAAAAAGCAGAGTAAAGACAAATCCTGAACGGTATGATTTTAACGTTAATTAAATAAATTGTAATAATGCCTAAATATGCATATGTATGTATTATTTCTTTGATCATTTTTATCTCTCATTTTACAAATCTGAGAGCAGGATAATATGTATTTCCCATCCGTTTCTCGTTTTTACTCGTAATTTTATCGATTGCTCAACGCTTGTTCGAAAGGAGGTCAATGTTTTCAGTCGAGGTTATACATGCGGTTGAAGATGACATCACCGCCGCATAGTAAGCGTGACGCAACCGCTCGTAGTAACGTCACGTTTCAAGTTTAGGCACACCCAAATATCTCGACATTTTTTGGCCAATTCTATGAATGGGTCTTCACCGACACCTGATAATATGACTATACGTCACGATCCATCGATAAGATAAATCGCCAAATCTGATATCTGATTCAGAAGATACCGTCTAATGGTTTATTGAACACATTGTTTATATTGAACGAACATATACACAGTGTATCATTTTCTGAGGAAAGTATTGAAGTTTTCAGCACTAGTACTTTTACAAAGTAAAATAACAGTTAGATGACACATCATTCGTAATATCATTATCTAGTATGCTGTTCGTAATAAATTCGCCTATTTGATGAATGAATCACTATCACGTTTAGTATACTACTGTGATAGTATACTACATTCCTTTCACGCTTTGGATATATGTATAACCAGCCTTGGAGCAAGTATACCTGTATGCATGATATTTAATATTCAATGAGATACCTATACTCTGTAGAATTTAAGCAAAGACGAAATCTCATTTTGAGATTCAATAAATTTATATTGTTTTAACGTGTTTGTTATAACGTTTCATTAAATATATACGCAATGCAACCAGCTGCATGTTATTATAATTAACTGTTACACATAACTGAAACAGCTATTCCAGAAATATACACATGTAATTGATCATAATAAAAAATAGAAATATACAAATTCGTGAATTATCGATAAACTATACATCATTATTATACATTTATAATTATCTATATAATTTAATTCACATGATTACTTCATGTTATTAGAAATAACTAGGATATTTAATACACAAATTTGATTCACTATTTTCTTACAATGAAATTGTTTGAATGACATCATATTTTAATTTATGGTATGATCTAACTTACTCTAACCAAATAAGTTTATAAATGGCCAGTTGAGAATCGTATTAATATAAATTCAAAGAGTAAAAGATCTGGATTTCATTATCTTACAGTATTCTAAAAATATGGATTATTAAAAGATAATATTTGCATCATTTAATGTACTATGCAGTTTGAAAATCCATTCCGTTATAATTCAATTCCTCGTAGCGTACGGGTGATGCATTTTCGTATTTTTGTTCTGGTTCTAAACAGCACTCGGTAGTTTTTACTGTATTCTTTCCAGGAAAATGTTAACGAGTGGTAGCACAGTAATTACTGCTATACCCTTTTAAGGTTTGAATCAGATCGGTGTATTCTTTATTCGCGTGATTCATCGCTTTTTATAATTAATTTTTTAATTATAGAGAAATAAGGCTGTAGTACGATATGACCCAAACATCAGAATGAACTAATAAATTTTTAGGAAGGGGTGGGAAGTAATATTTTTAATATGAAAATCTAATTATTTCGAAGCAATACATTGAGGGTAAATATTTAGTTTAAGGGAGTCACCTTTAATTTTGATAAGATTGAAATTTTGGACAACTTGAACCATCATCGGATGTTCAACAGTTGACGGGTGACCACTTCTACACCGACGCTACTTGACTACCATACGTACAAATACACCAAAAACACATGCGTTCCGTCTGTATATTTTACAGACGCATTGCACAAAATTTTTAATCAATATCTCAAAAACTAATGAAGACTCATGGATAAAATGTTACACACAGGTTTATTTTACCCCCACACCTAAAATTTCAATTCATTCTGATATTTGGGGCATACCGTAACATTCATAAATAATACGATTCAAGAAATGATAAAAAAAAATGGTCAATATAAACTATAATTCAAGCATCAAGGCACGCATACAGAGAATCGCTACTACAACATCAACCGCGCTAATTATGAATAAAACTCGTAAAAAATACGAGTCTCGGTCACTTCCATTTTTAGATCGTTATTGGATCGATTCACATCTCCGAGACACGTTATCATTGATCGAAAAGGCAAGTTGAATCAGAAAATGAAATTACTTACTTCGCCTTAAGTTCTTCATTGTTGTCCCACAGTCGTTTGGTATCAATCTCCAATTTCGCACGTTCCCTCGCAGTGTCGTCTAACAATTTCCTTGCATCCGATAATTCATGTTCGTACATAGACTTTATGGTGGAGACTTCGTGGGTGATAGTCTCCTGCGCCGTCTGTACCTCCCGCGTAAGCCTGGAATTCTCGGCTTCCAACTGCCGCACTTTATCGATGTAACAAGCCAGTCGGTCATTGAGATTCTGTAGATCTTGTTTTTCTTGTAAACGAGTGACCCGGGTCGGACTCAGGGGACTCGATGGTCTCGGCGTTGATGTGCTAAATTGCGATGTACGCTCGGTGGTACTCGAGCTCGTCGCCGTGGTCTTCTTAGCCGCCTTCGTTGCCATCTTTTTACGATAATCGGTTACTTTATTGCACTAGCACTTGCCCAGGCACTATCAAATCATCAACTTAATACACACTGACACCGTACCCGGGAAAGACGCTTTTAGCGGTTAAAAGACTACCAGAGGCGAAAATCTCACTGTCTCGCTCAACGGAAGAACTGTTTGGTAGTGACGCCAACGTTAACGAAGCAACCTCCATACATGCACCTTTATATCCCGTTAGCATAAACGCAATAGAGTTACGTGATAGGTTACATTCATGTGTATACAAACTTCCTCTACCAATCGGATACCGTTTTCTGCACCGTTTCCTGAACCGGCGCACCAATAAAAAGAGCATCGTTCGTTATCAAACCGCGTCAATCTTCGAAGACGCGATTACCACCGGAATTTGAAGATTTTTAACATAAATTGAACTTAATAATGGTTTAGAAACCGAATGAATTGCATGTAGAAATTTTAAACTTCAAGAGGAACGATTTTGCTGAATGTACATCGAAAAGAAATATTGATTCACTTCCTAGCAATGATTTCCTATGTGAACGCTGGGAAATGTAACAACCGAGAAAGAAATGCTTTGTCTCAACATTTTTCTGTTTCGTGCGTTTGTATTATATTTATTCCTCTTCCATTTGCTTAAAAATATTTTGAATAACGTAGTACATAATATGATACTTGGCCGAAAGAGATCGTTGATGTCGAGATTTTTAAAATGTCTGAGATAGTAGTGGTAGCGGCAGTGGCAGTTGTTGGACGTTATTACTCGTTGTCGTTAATATGTTTGAAGGCGTGAATGTTATAAAATAATTTATATATTTAAAACCAATTTTTAAAAGTTGATGTTTAGAAGGAACGAATAAATATTGAGAAATAATGCATTTGTGGGATAGCAATTTGCATAGTCACAATTTATGACAACATTCTTCGCGAATAATGAAATTATAATACGTTTCTATGAGGCGATACGATACTTAAAAAGATTATAATACTATATCGGGAGAAACGACTGTGGACGTTACAAATAACTTGATATAAAAATGTGTGACCTTATAGATTTAACTAGCCCTGACAGAAACGATCTGTTGGGGAAAAAGCTTGCTTCGCCTTTAATACCGATTCCTACCGATACCGGAGGCAATAACAGTAATCTCCGAAAAGATGGATCAAGTTCTCTGATAACAGGGAAACGTGAGAGTTTGGATAATAATCCTTTTGATAATGTGTTACATAAAATTACAGAATATATCCAGAAGAAGGATGATCCTTTTGAAGTGATCTTAGAAAAAGCACAGAGTGAGGAATATAATGAGGAACCTTCTTCAAAAAGATATTCAGATGATAATTCTAATCGTAAGAAAAAAGTACATTATCAAAAATTAAAGAGGCACAGAACATTAGATGAGTTTTTACTTACTAGTGTTCTGAACAAGAAAGATGCGATTACCATTAAGGCATCTAATGAAAATATTGGGGTAAATGTGAAGAAGAATCATATATTGAATAATGATTTAAAATCCGACGGTGCTGTACCTACCATTACTATTGAAAATATGGATTCATCCATCTTAAGCCAATCTGGAATGAATGATACGTTATTTGAAGGAAACGGAGAACAAGATAAGATACAGATGAAATCAACTTTAGGAGATATGAAAGACAATGAAATCCTGTCTGCAACTTTAAAAGTTCCAAAAGTTAGGCGTTCTCTTTCACACGGAGACACATTATCGCCAAAAAAGTCATGTTATTTAAATTGTTTCTCGTTGGTAGAACCTCCAAAAGTTGGTTTGATCAACAGGAGTAATGTATCTAATGAGCAACAAAATTCAGTGGATTTTTTAAATGAAGGATTTTTGAAGAGTCGTAGTGGAAGTTCTATATTTTCAAGTTTATCAAATATTTCGTCCATACCGAAATTAAATTCCGTTTCTTCCACGGTTAGCATAAATGGTTCATCAGCGATAGTATCAGATGATACCATGAACAGATCATTTTTGGGAAGCTGCTCTTCAGACAAATCAGAAAGACTGATGAAGACTCCAGCATTGAATGTGTCAACCAGAACTTCAATATGTGATTTAGCAGAGAGACTTAATAAAATTAGAATAAGAGCATCAGAGATGTATACTCCAGAAAATTTTGTAAATAATAAAGATGATACATGTAGTCCACCTAGTAGTATTAAAGAATCTGTATCTCTGCAAGGGAATACTGAGAAATCTGATGTAAATAACAAGTTAATAGATGTTGATCTATTTACTTCAGGCATTAAATCTAATAACGAATGTAGTAGTAGTTCCACTTCGGACACATCAACGGATTCTGTATTTGTTGTAAGTTCTCTGCTGTATGTACATAAAATTATCTTATAGATATATTTTTCTTTAATCAAGTTGTATCTTTATTGCAGGAAGGAAATAAAATTAATAAATTAATACGTAAAGAGGCAAAATACCTCGCAAGAACTTTTGAAGAATTTGCTTCAAAAACTAATTCAGAATGTAAGTCTGTGACATATTCAATTTTCTTCATAGTCGTAGTGAAACACCAATACTGTTGATCAATTACAAAATATTGATTTTGAAATAATCAGTATTTAGCATAGTTTAAATATGTTTTTATATGTCGAATAATTAAATAGTTTTGAATTTTAGCCAGCGTTGATGACCTCATCACCAACAGTCCTTCGTGGATGCCAGAGTTAGTACCTGCCTTTGATGATGAGATCTCAGTGGACAATTTAATCGAGTTGCCCGTATCACCTGAAGGAAATAATGCAAAATCGGAAGAACCAAAAGTTACAGAGCACAAAGGCAATGATTCACTTAAGAATAAAGAAAACGTAAGAGATTTAGAAATGGAACTTGTCGAACCTATACATACAGAAAAACATCTCACAGCAGCAACACTGTTATTAGATCTTAAAAAGCTAATTAAAACAGAAAACAATATAGAAGCTAACAAATTGGTGGAAAATTTAGAAAAAACTTTAGGTGTTAATTGTGTTACTAATACCGAACTATTGACTGCTTACTTAAGTGTGACGAATAATTTAGCAAAGAGTCCAAAAAAATCGTCCAGCAATTTGGAGATAATAAAAAATGTAGGAGAAAGTACCATGGAACATAGCCAAGAGGATAACTTAACTGGTAGTTCGATGGGAAGTATTAAGGAATCGGTATCTTTTGAATACGTGAACTTCAATGATCCAGATATGATTAAATCTACTGATAATCAAAAGAGTTTGAATGATGTAAATATTGAATCGAACTCCGAAATAGATGTTGGAATTGAAAATGTTGAGGAAATAAAAAAAGCAAATTCCAAAATTGTCTCTGAGGAAAAGTCCGCTTTGAAAATGGAAAAAAATACTTCAATAAATGAAAAATTGGTAATTGAACTTCTGGCAAATATTGGGAAATTAATATATGCCCAGACAGAGGAGCATCCGACCGAGGATATTGTCACCAAGTTGAGGAAGGCGTTACAAGCTACTTCTAGGAATTGTAATACTGATAATGATATAGAGAGTAACAATGCACACATAGAAATTCAACAGACTCCAAAGAAACCAAAATCCAAGTTTGAGAATAGATCGAAATCGTTGGGTACTTTACAATCAGCTAATACATTAAGCTTAAATTTAGAATCAAAGGTATTTATAGTGTTACAGAAATGTACGTGTACGTGAGGATGCAAGTACTGTAAGTCACACATTTCCGTCTCGAGAAATTTAGATATAAATGTTACATTGCCTTATGATATTTATATTTAACACGAAATATTTAACTGTTCATTGCCATCAAACGATATTGTCTCGAATCTATATCATAATAAGTCCATCGTGTAACAAATTCAAAATTATTATTATCTCAGGATCTTTAAAAATGTAACTTATACCGCTGTTGTTCTAACGTACACGCGTAATAAACTTTGAGGAACTTTCTATAATTTACTTAAACTTATTCTAGGAACAACCAGTTAATAAAAATGTTATTAGAAGAAGCATATCTGTGTCACAAACATTACCAATGCGAAACAAATTAAATTCATCGATGTCTACTAGTAAAAGCACTTCTCAATTGAACCAGGTACCAAAACGTTTTCCTAGTGATCCTGGTTTTGTCAGTCCGTCAACAAATAAGACACTCATCAAACGTAAGAATGAATTCCAAACAGGTAATATCTTGCTTTCCTATCAGCCACATGTAACAAACATAAAATTAATTCATTATGCTTATCTTTAGATACACGAGTGAAAGCAGTTGCAGTATTAGATATACAAAAAGAGAAACCTTCCGTAATAAGTACAGTTAAAAATAAGTTAAAGAAAAAGATTGGCACTGATGTAGTGAATAAAAAAGGTCCAATGAAGGCTATTTTACCTATCGGAATTATGCAACGAAGAGGTACGAATTGTGTCAATTCAAAAGTATATAAACCCACGTTTATTAAAACAATTATGTTAGTTCACTTTCAACTGTACTTATTCTTTTTGCAGAATCGTTTAATAAGAAAACAATTTCGTCCACCGGAAGTATAACACCCCCTCAGTCTCATAAAATAATTAGTAGTACACCTAATTCGGCAAATAAGGATTCTATGGCAAAGAAGTCACGATCTACAACACCGGTCGCTTCATCGACTCCAGACGTTCAAGATGCTAAAAAAATTCAATCAAAAGTAGCTACTAGTCCAAAGAAACGTAATTTCTCTTATGAAATTTCACCGGTAACTACACGCGTCAGTGTTAATAAAGCAATGAACAATAGTTCTCGAAGGTATGTATTTAAATTTATAATATTGAGGGAATTAACAAGAGAAAAGTGAATTTTTTTTACAATGTAGTAAATTACCATCTCCGAAAAGAACAACGCCTAAGCAATCAAAAGAAACTGGTATTCCAAGATCAAGGACACCTCCTATCAGGGACCGACTACATTCTTCACTTGAATTTAATAGAAACGAGCGAATGCATGTGTCACCGCAACGTACGATGTGTAAAACATCGAAGTTACAGAAGACTTCACCGATATCATTTAAAAAAATCGAAACTCAACAAAGTCCATTAAAAGACAGTAACAAAATCGCGTATAAAGTGAAACCCATGAATTTGGTATGTATTAAACGATGAGCAATGATTAATCTAATAATTCAAGTAATTTGTTTAATGAACGTAAGTTTCCTATTTATTCGTTAACAGATCTCTAAACTTCGGCGGCACAGTTTCGGCACCAATGCGATGGAAAAAGAAAATAATTATATTTAATTTATAAAAGCAAGTTATTGTATAATTAATGATGGTTGTGTTATTAAACGTATGCAAGGTTTATTGTAACGTGTATTTTTCTACATTTACATTTTTTGTACTTTTTTTATTCTGCAATAAAATGTTTGAAACAATAGTACAACGGTTGTCATATTTTTCGCTTAAATAAGTCCTAGGATCTTCCCTGTACTCCCTGTACTGATATAAACAAATTCTCGGCTTGAATATTAAAACAACTGATCTTATACTTTGTTCAGTACCTCGGATCAAAGAATGCTCTTAATAAATGCGATATTTTCAAAGAGATCTGTTTTAAACGTTTTTATTGAATTATTATTAATACAGAGAACAGTAATTAAAAAGCGATAGAATTTAAACGTTCATATGCTATATATAAGTATATACAAAGATTTACTTAGGATCAGTTGCGTCAGATCCGTCGATCTGAAAACAGGCTTAAAAGAGAGCTTCTCGGCCGGGAACATCGATAGTAGCGCTCGGGAAAGACCGATACTTCACGACTTCACGGTCGTTTCTAAAATCACAGACACAGTGTCGTATCATGCGTAAATTACGACTAAAAATTCGTCCAGAGGAATACTTATGTCAGAGAGGAACTGAGAGTGCTCACGGCCGGGTTTTGCGTGTTCCCCATACTAGTGCTGCCCCCAGCTATTTTTTGCAGGGATCTGACACGTTCAGTTCAACGTTTAGCATTTACCAGAACCAACTGGATTGAGATCTGCCCTGTCCAGTTCAACGTTTAGCATTTACTAAAACCAACTGCACAGAGATCTGCTCTGTCCAGTTCAACGTTTAGCGTTTACAAGAACCAACTGAACAGAGATCTGCCCTGCCCAGTTCAACGTTTAACATGTACTTATAAGGGAACGAAAGAACCATTTCAACGCTAGCAAATACGTAATGAAGACCAACCAATATTACGAAATGTTCACACTCGTATTGTTAATAATTGTAAATAATTGTAAGGACATTGTCTATATAAGTGAGCTTCGAACACGAGGAGAAACGGGGTTACGGAAATAAAGATTGGATTTAATTCTTTTTTAATTGAGGCAAAACCAAATTTATTACGATCTGAAAAACGCCTGTGTTCCCTGTATATGAACAGGGCAGGTCTCTGTTCGTTGGTTCTGGTAAATGCTAAACGTTGAACTGAACGTGTCAGATTCCTGCAAAATTTAGCTTTGGCAGCACCATCGAATTGGGGACACCGAAACCTGGGCCGTGAGCACTCTCAGTTCCTCTCTGCTTATGTTTTGATATTTAAGTTTGCGAATAATTGTATTTTATTTCGCTCAGTAGGTAAATCAAATCATAGGTAAATTTCAAAAGTACATCGCAATATAATGAAATGCATTAAAAGAAATCATTCTAATAACGGTAAAATTGCTAAACGCTTCACACAAAAATGAGTCAATAAGGAAGAACAAAAGTATGTTCTTTCTTCGTTGGATGAGTCGAGAAGATACAAAAACGATAAGGCAGTACGATCAAAGGTTGGTATCCTGTATTAAAAAGAAGGAAAAAATTCTTGTGAGAGAGAACAATGAATCAGTGAAAGTGATGCGCAGAAGCCGGCTCCTTGCAGGGCGCTGACAAAGGTATTGCCGTACCTGCACGGACTCGTCCCCGCAAAAAGTGCGCTCCGCGTGCTCCGTACTCCAGCGGCGGTCCGTCCACACTCGCGTGTAGCCGCACCCGGCTCGGCGCTCTTCGAAATAACTCGAAAAATCACCTACGAAGGGAATCGGCCGGCATTGTAAAACGATTTTTAGAGGATCGCCGGAAGTGACAATAACAGCAAGGTGAAGTGCGTCACGGTTTCATCGGAGTTCGATCTTTTTGGGCGTTCTGTGGTACGAGGAAAGCTAACGCGGCGCGCACGAGAGGCCGCCTCTAGAAAAAGAGCGCGTCTCCGCGCGTTGCGCTACATTGGAGTGTAACGCGATTGCTCGCGAAAGTGTCCGAAGGACGTTGGAAATGATAAAAAAACTTAGACGAACGACTCGTTAAAGTGGTAACGCGCGGTACATCGTGCCCGAAAGGTGCGGATTTTTGACCGGTCGAACCGGGAGAAGTAAGAGAAGAGGCTGGCGCGCGCCGAGGCCACAGTACGGAGAAAAGACCGCGTCTTGCAGGTTCGTGGTGTGCTGCGGTAGCTATTGTGCTATACAATTGTCCGAGCTTATCGACATTCTCGGAATTGCCGCGTGTCATCCGCTGCACGCTAGAGACGATAGATCATCGAAATATAATTAGTGAGTGGTTCGTTCGTGCACAGTGTCAATTCATATAATATGCGAAACGCATAGGAGGAAGGTACGGCAAACCGGCGGCGATATATCCCGCGTGGTACGTATACGTACTCATACATATACACGTATGCACGATACGTAAATGTGGCATGCACATTCGTAAGGACCGTGGACTCGTGGAATCGTCGCTGTTTGATCGCCGCGTATATCGGAGTAGCCTGTCGCGAGCCGCGTTTAACAGAGAGATCCAACACTCTGGAAAACTTGTCGGACAGTACGGGAGAGAAGAACGGCGATCGTCGAGAGAAGAGAGAAGTATATGTTGGCCAACGATTGGTGTAGACGTTCGACGGTTATTTGGCACGTATGTAGTGCAATTATTCCCCGGTTATACCCGGTTTCGCTCCCGTGAAGAAGGCATTATTCGTCGGTGCGAGGGTCGGCGCATTTTCGAAATAGAAACAAAAGACGTTCGGGCTACCAATTTCCAACCAATACAGACACTGTTCTCTTTGTTCGGTACCGCGATACCTCGATTAACGATTTTGTTCAAATTTGAAATCGTGCCACACGACAATTTTAACCGGAAGGAAGTTACATACATATCTTGACGTCGAATGTGCGTGCAAAGGGTGTGAAATGCGTCGCGCTGCAGTTCGATGTTCGATCCAGCAGCGGCGGACGACCTGACTTTGTCAGATTGCCTCTCGTCGCGTACGTACACCGTACACCGCCTCGGCTTCGGTGCCAACAATGGATCGGCGTAACCGCGGTACGCGATTCGAAATTCTTTCCCGATAGCGGACGACGTGTTTAGAAAGTGATCCAATTGTATTCTCGGCTTCGAACCGCATCTTTAATCGCTTTGTCCTGTGATTAAACGTTGAAACATTTCAGCGAACATTTCGCGCGTCCCAAATGCGCCATAGATTTCGCACATTATTGACTTCGTCGATCCGTGCAATCGATAATATTGCATCACGTTAACATGGTTCTACGATTGTGTCGTTAATTCCTTCGCCGAAGTCACAGCGCGTTCGCAGAAGAAAAAAATAACGAGACGATCCGTGTACGTAGAAATATACTGAGGTTTTATAATAACGTGCTGCTCGAACTTGTTTATATATATGTAAGAACGATTCTGCGCTTGATACGAAGTGGTGCGGACTGTTCCTACCGTAAGAATGATCGACTTTTTATCTGCGTATTATTTCAAATGATAATCGACGGCTCTCAACGTTTACGTGTGGGAATGGAAAATTGAAATATATTATTCGCACGCAAAGCTTTCGCGTACGATCAAGCATGAAGAGAATATTTTCGAAAAGGGAATGAAGATCGCATGTAAACCGACGACCAAGTGATAAAATAGAAGCGGATACAGACGCGCAACTACATTGAAGAATACTCGCCGGCCGTTATGACATCACGTGCGAATGCATCGGACACAGTGAAAACGTGCGACAAATCCTGTGGAAACGATTTAAATTCGTTGCGTACTGTTTTAAACCATCGGCTGAACGTAAATCGTGAAATATTTTATCGCGGTACAACGAGCTTAGTCGACGAGTAAGAAAATGCAGCAACATCGAGTAGAAACGCAGATAGTGCACGAGGAGCAAATTTTGGAGGCGATAGATCAATTGCGTCGACGTAAGGCGCGACCCGACGCTGATCGGATTTGCAACTATCTGTTACGGAAATTTTCTGTCGACGCACGAGACACCATCGCCGATCTTCATCGGTTGATCGAAGCGGAAAAAGTCATACAGGTCGACTACAAAGGTAACACCAGTTACCGTAACGCCTCGAAATGGTCGCGGTTGCAGCTTTACAAAAATCGACCGGAGGGTTTTGTGAAAGAAAAGTTGAATTCCGGGATGGTTGCGGGTGCCGTGGCCGAGCTCGTTGTCGAGGAGCCGGATTACCTTGATCAAGGCGTGCCAGCGTATAGATTGATCGAGCAGTTGCTCGATGGTGTTTCTAATCCTACTTCGAGACGGATGGTAGAAGATTTCCTTGGAAAAGAAGTGGCTAGTGGTAATTTGACGCGTCTCTCGAACGGCAATTACTCGCTGGTGGCGACGTCTGACATGACAACCACCGCCGAGTCAACGCATCGAGAATCTTTCACCCTCGAAAATGGAAACCTGCGACGTAAAGAATTACAAACTGTTTCGTCTACTACAGGTGGCTTATACGACTTCGACGAGTCAGAAAACTTAACAATTACGGACTCGAGATCGAATACGCCGAGGTCATCGCGTCAAGCAAGTCCTAAGTCTGATCCGCAGATCAGGAAAGAGGAATGTTACGAGATAATTGTGGGAAGGGATAAGAATGTTAAGTCACCTATCGAGTCAGATCCTGTGAAGGATCAAGAACCACAAGACGAACCATTGGAGACCTCTGCGAAGGATGTGAAGGAAGAATCGAAAAATGTGGACGGTCAGGCTCATAACCTTAAAAGGTCGTCGAAGGCTGAGCGTAAACAGCGCCTGCTTGTTCGTACGGACGATCCTATGGACATAGAAATCAAGTTTGAGGACTATCGAAAAGATAATAAAGAAGAAACAAATTCGCAGAAAGAAAAGAGGGAAGAGACAGGGCATCTTAGTGAAGAACGAGAAGATGAGGACGCAGGAAGAAGTTCCACTAATCCGTCACCTACACCGTCCAACACTAATTTCGGTGGCTTTCGTAGTGCTCGTAGAAAGGTGTTTAGATGTTTCTTCATCTTGATTACATAATTAAACTTATATATGTATTTTAAATAATTAATATTATTTTTTTAGAGAGCAAAAAAAGTGTTTGACCCATCTGACAATAATCTTGTAAAAAGGAAACGTGGAAGGCAGCCAGGTTCTCAGAATAAGCCTTCTGCACCTCAAGAACCTCAAGATACTTTGAAAACTGTCATCAAAGATGGACCTTGTAGACAATGTAGTCTGTGTGCCAAAGAAAAACAAGAAACCTTAGTTGCTTGCCGGGATTGTACCGTGCGAGGTATTATTATAATCGATAATAGGATAACACTTTAACATGTATCTACATAACGATAAATTGTCATTTCTTTCTTTACAGCACATCCGAGTTGCATTTATAGTCCAGAGGAAATGATTCAAAAAGTAGGCAGCAGTTGGCAATGCGAACGTTGTAAGAGCTGTACAGTGTGTTGTGAAACTTCAGATGCTGTAAGTAAGATAGTGAAAAATCGATGATTACTTTCTTCCGTTTCATTAAATTAATGCAATTTTACAGGGTCCGCTGGCAACGTGTTCCTCCTGTGACGAAGCTTATCATTATTACTGTCATACACCGCGAATAATAATTCCTAAATCGAATTCAAAATGGCAATGTAACGACTGTGTCCAAAAGCAATATAAAACCAACATTAGCCAGAATATCAGTCTGGTTACTAGCAGGCCTGATACTCCATCAAATCCGCCTGCATTACCTCCAGTTTTAAGCCCGCAAGTTTCACCTGCCAGAGCAACTTCTGACACTATGGAAGATGACGTTCCAAGAGATGGCATCGATCCAAATATACCTGATGCTTCGGATTGGACGTCTGACCAAGTGTATCAATATTTCGCAAGACTTTTCCCAAAAGAAGCAGAGGTGTTCAGGCAACAGGTACTTTCCATTTTTTTTACTTTCTTTAATATGGGCGCACATTTTTATTAAATATCTTATACATCAATTTGTACGTTACAGGACATCGATGGTCATTCTTTACTACTGATGAAGAGATCTGACGTTTTGAGCGGGCTCGATTTACTGTTAGGTCCAGCTTTGAAAATATATAGGCATGTATTAAAGTTACAAGTGCGGAGAGATGATCCGAAGTTATATTGGCTGTAAATATTTTGAGTACTTAGAATAAGAATAGTATTTAAGCACAATTAAATATTAACACTGTACAGATTGATTTATATATCTGCGGGGTAAGAATATTTTTTCGAGTCTCGAAATCCTTTTTCAAGTTGTATATAATGTAGTTGTCTTAGCTTTAAAACCTGATTCTTTATAATAAAAGAACTTAAGAATATGGGAAATAAGAAGGTATGATTTGAAAAGGATAGATCTGTTTTCTTTATAAATATTTTTGGACTAAATAGTTTGAATAACTTAAAATGTAAGACTCCCTTCGTATAATATAGCTAAGTATTTTCTGTTCAACAACTGCGATCAAAATTTCGAAAGGGTGCTAATACTTGTTACATATTGGCATTAACTTCATATTTCACATAAAAGGCTCTAAACATTGTTCTGTTTGAATGATGATAATTCGAATATGGAATACAAGAATAAATACTATTTCTATATGTTTGTATTACTTTTTTATTTTTTACAGTGTATAGTGAGATAACAAACATTTACTTTTACTAATAATACAGTAAATTAGCAATATCTTATGTAAGGAACATGATACTTTGGTTTGAAATATACTTTCTTATACATTAAATGTATTAATATTTACATTATTTCATTTAGTTAAACCAAAAAAAAGATATAACTTTATTTTCCCTTATGCTCTCGTGACGCACTAACAATTCCTTTTGAAGCAATGACCATTAATTCCACTTTACTCTTTTCAATTTTGAATTAAAAAAAAACATATTTCCGGAGTACATATTTTAAATCAATTCCTGTAATAATAATTGATACAATTTACATCGCAAGATTTCATCAAGAAAGGTATAACAATAACGTGCGTCATTTTAACATTGCATTCTTAACATGATTACGTTAGTGCTTTCTTCAATTAAAACCATCATAAATTTTATAATTTTAACATTACGTTAACATAAAAGTAATATCAATTTATAACGTAAACAGCCATAATTATATGTATCATTAAATGATTGACTCTTCAATTTCAGTCCCACATTAAACTATGAAGAATTGCATATTTAATGTTTTAGAATATTCTAACACGAAGACATTATAATACTTTTTAACTGTTTACAAGTAATGTCTTACATTGGTTATATATTATAATTATACATTAATTTATATAGTAAGAGAAAATATCAAATTTATGTTTCTGTGTAATGCAGTTAAAATGTACTATGGGAAAGTTCCGAATGGTGTTTCAATACTCGTAGTCGCATGATACATTATCATATATCATACTGGATTCGCAAATTTCACTGAATGGAGACGTGTACACCAACATTTCAAAGTTTCTTTCAACTACGCATTGTACTATGTTTGTTTCTTTAATTTTGTATTTAAACTGGAAACTGAGAATAGAAAAGAAGTTCCCAAAATAAATTTCGTATATGTATGTATATCTTCTTCCCATCAACTTTTATTATCTCCACGATATCTAAACTTTACCTTTCATTTTACTATAACGTTGAATATAAAGAACGCAAAAGCATATAGATTTTAGTAATATTGATATTTTGAGAAAAATCATACCATTTCGTTTTGCATACAAAATATATGTTCGATATTAGGAAGCCAAACCAATGCGAGAATAGTATACTGAAACATTCTAAATTATCATAATGATTACCAGTATTTAAATTTTTCTTCTTTATATTCATACATCATATTTAGAAAAATAATATGTTAGTACAAAAGCTTTTAATCCTGACTAAATTACTAATAAAGTACGCAATTTGCAGTCTTATATGTGTGCACATCCTTTTTCATCTTACAAGTTTTATTACGGATTAACTTCAATTATGTCATGTATGCATTGGAAAAAGAATAATAAAAAAAGTTTCTACTATAAAAACAATGTTGTTCCGTAAAAAATAATTTCATTACAAGCATAAACGTTACCGTAAATTTCATCCAGAAAATATTTTGTCGATTTTGATTTTAATCTTTGTATACTTCTTTTAAAGCCTGAATTAATTCTCTGAGGCTTTGTTTTTACATGAATCATCTTAAAAGCTTATCTTGTACTTATGGATAATTTGACTAAAAACCGAAAGTGCAGTTACTTCGGAATAATCGTAATATTCACAAAGTCCTATTGTACTTAATACAGATGCAGTTTATTTAAAACTGCACTAATACACTGAAATTTAAACAATTTTCAAACTGATCAAAGAAATGATAGAATTATAATATCTACCTAAACTTTCATGTTAATGTCTGTTGGATCTACAGTATCAAAATACTTAGGTGGAGGCTGCTTGTGCAATGGTACTTCTGGTATGTACACTGTAACTGCTGGAGGAATCTCAGACTTTTCAATAAGGATTTCCTTATAAGGATCATTAGGCTTCTCTGGATATAAGCACAACCAAAGTGCAGACAATGCTGCTGCTGCAATAGCAGAAACTAAAAGCCAGAGTGGTAACCCAATATGTGTTGAAGTGCATTGAACCCAATCAGATCCGGGCGATGAAGCTGATTGATCATTTTCTCCAGAGTAGTCTGATGGTATACCATAATCCACTGTCTACATTTTTATCACATTGTAAACAGTCGGATTAACATTATTTATTATTAAACAATAAATATAAATATTATATAAATTAAGAACTTACCCCAGCATCTAATGGGACAGTTTTAATATATGTTTGCGGTAATTTAAATCCATTAAAATCCCACCATCCTGGAAGAAGTTCCTTTCGCAAGCCCGGGTCACTCAGAATATCATTTTCAGGCATATCAGGTGACATTAAAAATACATTGGAATCCACACCTTCCTCTACATAAATGGCTACAGAAAAAAGTGATAGTAAATCTGAAACACGCTGCTTGGCCATAAAATCACAGCCAGTGCTACATGCATAACGGTCTTGTGGTGTCGCGTATGCCTCTGTACATGCTGTAAATAAAGAAGTATTAGATTGTATTAATCCTTAGATCGTATTTATTAGAACATTAATGAAATTTCTTATGAAAAGCACATCTTCAAATGAATCAGCATACATAAACAACTGTATGAAATGCATGTCATTTAATATTTGCTCTACGATTAAAAATAACAGCTTTAATTATCTCAAAAGTGTATTAATACATTTTACGTACAAGCTTCGCAGGCATCCCTTGTACCATTTAAACTATTTGGTTCTAAGCGTAAGCTATAATGTAAGTCCACCAAATTGAAAAATCGGCACCCTCGTTGGCAACATGAATTAACATAATTGCTCTAAAAATTAATGAATGTCATCGTATTTTATTCCTTCGTTTATAAGTGTATATGGTATGAAGACATAGTTCCTTAGACAACACGTACATTGGTGAAAGATAACGGCATTTTTTCACACAAATTAATGCAAGGGTCTTCTCGATTTACGAGACTGTACAACATATCACCGCACGCAAGATTTAGAAAACATAGTGACAACAACAATGATGCAATCTCTTTTCCCGTTATCATTTCAGACAGCTACTTCTCACCAAGGATGTTCAGATTATCAATCAAAATATAATTCGTCGGACGAAGAAACTTCACTTCACGAGAGGTTGATAGCTCGTCGAATAATCGAGTAAATATCGATTTAATTATGGTGGGAACGTATCCCATTGGACGACTTGTTCGCCGTCTATGAGAGCAAGACAATATCACGTTTTGAAATTATAATGATCGCACGTCGTCTGCTAGATTGACATCTGAAATGTAATGATGATATTAACAAAAATTTCGATCATTTGAGATTTTTCTTTTATATCAGTGAGTAGTACATAAATTCCGATGATGAAACTCACTTATAGATATCAAACTGTCAAAGTATGTGAATGTATATTACATGATCGTCATCATGTATATAAGGCTTAAATGTGTTGTTATTAATATAAAGCTGCCACGTATGGCATGGGATGGGATTATTCAGGATTATTAGCACTAGGAGAATCACATGCCGGTAAATGCAACCATTTCATCCAAGTCTTAGATTTGGCATGCATTTTTAATTATTTACCAGAATCTGTTGTCTTCAGGTGATTTTAGAATATATAACTGAAGTAAGTAATATTTATTAAATTTTGAGTATTTATTATAAAGTTGCTTTTTAATCTCAAATACTATAAAAATAAAATCTTCAATATGGTACGTGCATACACGTGCACATAGTATATGCATCATATATATATTACATTAATTAAAAAATTTTAATTTGAATCTTTCATATTTTATAGAATGTCGAAGGAAGAGGGTTTTTCAACAAAAGCTATTCACTCTGGCCAAGATCCACGGCAATGGGAACATGGTTCAGTAATACCTCCTATTGTATTGTCTACTACCTTTCAACAAGATGGGCCTACAGAATCTAGAGTAAGTTTTCTCTGTGCATACATTCTTGGTGATTTAAATTAATGTTCTTCAGTAAACTGTTCGTGTGCACAGGGCTACGTTTATAGTAGAAGTGGCAATCCTTCGAGAAATGTTTTAGAAACATGTTTAGCTGCTCTAGAAAATGGAAAGTATGCACATACTTTTTCATCAGGTTTGGGAGCTACGACAATATTAACTGCGTTACTAAAAGCAGGGGATCATATCGTTTCTGGAGATGATATTTACGGAGGAACAAACCGTTTCTTTCAAAAATGTTTATCTACACACAATATTCTAACATCATTCGTAGACATGTCAGATGTAAATAACATTATAAATAGTATAAAACCAAACACAAAGGTATGAAAAAGGTTTCGTTTCATGTGTTAATAAATATGTCTGCTATTAGTTAGGAAACATAAAAGATATAATTATATGTCTGCTCCTAGATGGTTTGGCTAGAAACTCCAACTAATCCTTTGCTCAAAGTGTTTGATATCGATGCCATTACTCAAGTAGTAAAGAAGAAAAATCCTGAGATTCTTGTAGTAGTTGACAATACGTTCCTCACATGTTATTTCCAGGTGAGAAACAGGATTTTTACGCAGTACTACTGATACTCTAATTGAGGATTTATATTACGACCGTGTGTATTTCATTATAGAAACCATTAGATTTAGGTGCAGATATTGTAATCTATTCTATGTCAAAGTACATGAATGGACATTCAGATGTTATTATGGGTGCATCGATTACAAATAGAGATGATATTGCAGAAAGAATTAAATTTTTACAGAACGGTAATATCTGATTTATCATTTTCTGTTCTAACTATAATATTCAATAGCGAATTTATTTCAGCTATGGGAGTTGTTCCATCACCTATGGATTGTTATCTGGTGAATCGGAGTTTAAAAACTTTAGAACTTCGAATGCAGCAACACATGAAAAATGGATTAGCGGTTGCCAAGTTTTTAGAAGCTCATCCATGTGTAGAGAAAGCTATTCATCCATGTACATATTTTGATAACTATTATAATTATGATTTGTTCATGAATCAGATTTAATAAAATAATTCATTCGTAGATCTTCCGTCGCATCCACAGTATGCAGTTGCTCTTAAACAAACAACGGGTCACAGTGGAATGATATCGTTTTATCTGAAAGGTGACTCAAATAAATTTTTAAAGGCATTGAAGATATTTTCATTGGCAGAATCGCTTGGTGGCTATGAGTCTCTCGCTGAATTACCGTAAGTGAATAAAAATTTTAACTGATCTATGCACGCATTTACATTTTTCTTACCGTTTTTAATTATTTTTACAGATCTGTCATGACTCATGCTTCCGTTCCTGAAGAAGCAAGAGCAGAACTAGGCATTACTGACCAGTTGATACGACTGTCTGTTGGTCTTGAAGCAGAACATGATCTCATAAATGATCTTGATCAAGCTCTTAAAGCTAGTCAGTGAACACATTTATAAAATGGAAAATATGTTCACGATACTGAAACATACACTTATATGTATATTTTAAAATTAAAAATACAAATTTTGTATCAATTTACTAAGTTTTTATATACAAACACCTTACAATACTAGTGTTTTTTTACATTATTTCTTTTTTTATGCAAAACGTAATCCTTATGATTATGCGCATTTGTACCATTATTACTTTGAATTAACATTACGTACTTCGTTATAA